GTGTGGGAAAAATAGTTATCGTCTATGTCAACCTTCATTTATCAAAAGGTAACTCAAGGTAGAATCGAGTTAAGATGCGTAATTTATTAGCTAATTGATGTGTAATAATTGCTGTAGTAGTTACGACACATTACTCCCCCACCAAAATCTTATCTGTGACAGAATTCGATGAACAGATACCACTAGTTAATTCATTGCTGGTTTTGAGAAAGACAGGAGGATTAAGTTCACCGGATTTTGAGTGCTGGTGGTGAGAATTATATTAAGTTCACGGTTGTGTACGTTGGCTCTCTTGTGTTGCTATCAGCAGTTGAGTGTGGGCAGGATCTCGTCGTGTATGATAGAGACCGAGAAGCAACAGCGTGAGGAGGACAATGACCCAGTTACAAATAGCAAGTCAGCTATTCAATGTGGACTATCTATTAAAGTAGGTGAGTTCTAATCGAAGTGGGCGTAACTGCCGAGGTAGACGAGCTCATATCACGCAAATCGGGCAAATTGTTCTCAATGTGGGGAAAGTAGTTTTCGACTATGTCAACCTTCATGTGTCGAAAGTTACCTCACGGTAGAGTAACAGTTATTTCGGTTGGCCGGAGTGCCTGAGGTCGGAGTGGTCATTTACCCCTTCATCGGCTAGGTGAGGATCGTTGAGATGAATACCAGATAGAATCGATTTTACATGTCTTATATACTAGTGAATTGATATTTGATAATTGTAATGGTAGTTACGCCACACAACGTTAAACTGAGTGATAGTTAACAAAAAATGAATTTCTGACTCGTGTAGGAATTGGCAGAAGTAGGTGATGTTGGTGATAAGCAGCAGTTTTTAATATTTGCTTTTACTATAATTTCTCGCTAAACAAATGTTTAGTAGTAGTGTTTTCATTTTTAAATTAAAATTTATATACTCTTACCTTTTTCTTTTAAAATTATTGCATTCTGATTTGATCACAATAAATTTAAGCATACATATAGTATGCGTATATTGTAACCTGCGATAGTCAGCAAAGTAAATATAGGCGTACAACTAGTATACATGCATATTGCTATAAGAATAACGTTCATTAAAGATTTATATTTATATTTTCATTAAAATTAGAAAATATAAGGAATTAATCATTTACTTTCTCACATAAGACCTACCTTCTCATCAAAAATGCTTCAGACATAGTTCTACGTATTTCCGTATGTTCCATAATGATTTATTTTAGTGACACTATTTTAATGTACATTCTTCCAAAGTCTCAAATCTTCATAAGGATCCGAAGCTAAAACTTCTCTGAGGAAAATTATTTCGTCGATTATACACTATAGGCGTTTTTCCGTCTCTATTTGTAAAATACTTACGTTAAAAGTAACGTTCTACTCTATTTGTATGATACAATATGCTATTCCTGAGCTTGTATCGCTAAAGCATTTGAAATACTGATGGCGTTTCCGTCAGCGCAACGCAAACGTAAAGCAAAAGCTCTTTATTATATAAAGCATCATTATCCAAATAGGGAATGCACACACGTTTCCATAAGAATTACAGCCTCAGACTACGAACACAAAGATCCCAGGTTCGAAATGAGCGAGTCGAAGAGCAACTCTTTAGCACTCCGTCTTTATTGACGATCAGTAATAACAAACATTCACTTTACTCCTCGAGAGATAGCGGCAATATGCATTTTTGCCTCATTCTACGGCCCACTTTGAATAAAACACCTGACTCTCAAGCAATTTTAAAGTATGAACTGGATATAACTTTTACGAGCACGAGATTAATTTAAAATTAATGGCCATACATTTAACGAGAAAAAATTTGCAGATAGTATATTTTTTTTCTACAGGCTTGTATTTATAAGGTATTTTTAGGGATATTAATTTACTTTTACGGTTAGTAGCTGGAACACCTTTTACCAATCCGAAATAATAATCTCTCGGTGAGTGTACAGAAACACAGAAAATTCGTCATTAAGTTTAGGTAAATTATTTTTTATTATTATTTTTTATTTCCTGCAATTTTCTCGATATTAATGGCTATGGATTTTATCAGCTACGCCTTTAGGGATGTAATGGATCTATCTTCTTTATTAGAGAGTATAGATAACATATGTCTGAAGCATTATCAGAAACATTGGGAAAGTTTCAGCACATTTCATTACTTTTAACTTTATCAGCAAATGGCGTCACTTGTATCTTGGACAAGGTGCCAGTGCAGCACCTTCAGCAGTTTCAAGGTACCACAGTCTTAACAGAACTATCTGCTGTGATTTATGGTTAAATTATAAATTAATTATTATTTTTTTACAGCTATTGCTGAATGAAGGAAAATGATAAGGCTTCTAAATAATGTTGTTTGGATTATATAAAACGTTTTTTTATTTCATGGGTAGTTTAAGATGTTGATGAAATATAAACCATGTTTCTGCAAAATTTATTATCTTTATAGGGCCATATTGACTTTTTTAAGTTCCAAAGGTTCATACAGTATATACAGTATGTGCTCTCAATTTTAATACCTTGAAATGCAATTAGATATGTATACATACTTAAATATGCCTCATTGTGGAGCCCCTAATTTGTCTAAAATAAATTCAATTGGCTATGTACCTAGTATATTGTAAGATATAACTACCAAAGAAATTACTTCTGAAAATTCCATCTCCCTAAATAATTCTTATTCTCTTAAAAAGAAAAAAAAAGATATTATTTTTTTACAAGATTTATAGCTATTTCTATTGATAGAACTCATAGTAAATAATGATATAATATAATTTATGACGCTTTACAAACCTATAAATATTGAACGTGCTTTTATAATACCAAACTTCTAATAAGTAGATTTCTTGTGAACTGTGTGTATAAAAAAGATTCTTGAGCGCTAATTAGTTAAAGAAAAGAAAATGTAAATCTAGGATTTTTGTTTCCCTTTTTCTTGGAGTCTCATTGCATTTTTTTCTGATAGCAAAGAAAAAAAAACGCAAAAACCGAGTTAAGAAATACTCTAAATTAAAACTAAAGAAAAAACTGTAATAATATTATTTTCTTAACGAAAGGTCACAGCCGTTCCACTAAAAATAAATTTAGTTAAGATTAAACTTAACTATTACAATATAGATTGTGATATGCTCTTTTTCTTTCGTTATTTTGTCTTTTATTGATGTTGGCGGACATTGTCTGGTGACTACAGTTCTTGATAAATTCCATGCTAATGCTTTCACCTTATTTGAATTATGAAACATATAAAAAATATTACCATAAATATATTTGGCATATGATATCTTAGGTTTCTCGAAATCTTCATTAAAATAAGTTTAAACTGCATGAATATCCTGCATCAAAGAAATTGAAAATGCAAGTACTCAAAATGCGTGTTGTTCACTGGGTAACATATAAAGGTCCAAGGTTCAACACCGTGTTGCATTTTGATCAGTTTCTTTTTAATTATTTCTTTTAAAAATATATTTTTCCAGCGTGCATGACCGTCTTTGCTTTCCAAAAAGTTATGTTGATAGTAGTCGGATTTAAAGTGTATTTTTAACAAAATATATTTCAAAAAAGATATTATCCTTTTTTCTTATTTTATTTTTTTTTTTAAAAAATTACTTTTTAGAGCAGTGGTGGCTTAGAGAATAGAGAACTTGTCCTCCAATGAGGTGAACCGGGTTCAAATCTCAGCTGTGGCTGGTCGATACGAATTTCGCACCTGGCTCGCACCGACCACAGTGCTGACGTAAATTAACCCCAGTGCTAGACAGATCATGGGTTAGAGTCCCCTTGACATCGGGCTTACCGTGGTAGGGTGTACGTGGTTTTCCACACCATGTAAAGCAAATGTGGGTTAGTTCCTCCACGAAGACAACAGTGCTCCCAATACTTAATCCAGGAGTTCCTTTGTCTTCTGGATTAAGTTTAAAATGAGAAGACTACGGATTTGAACATTAGTTGTCTTAAGCCCGAAAATTAGATCGGCTGTTTAACGATGGTTATAAAATAAAATAAAATAAAATAAAATAAAATAAAATAAAATAATATAAAATAAAAAAAATAAAATAAAAACTNTAAAAAATAAAATAAATTAAAATAAAAAAAAAATAAAATAAAAAGTAAAATAAAATAAAATGAAAAATAAAAAAATAAAATAAAGTAAAATAAAATAAAATAAAATAAAATAGTTACTTTTAATGTAAGGAAAGAAATAAGTTCATTTCTTTTTCGTTTTAGTTTTTGTGCTGTTTTTATATAACTTGTGATGATCTTGAGCATGTACAAAGAAAAATAATTGTTCCCCCTCAAGAGATAATATCTGGTAAAAATCATGCATTATTTAAACGCTTCTCGGGACTGCATTCTGCATATGATCTCTTTTTATATCCAAATATGACATACTATTTTGTAAGATGGAAAAGCATTCCTTAAAAAAAAAGTGCTGATTCATTGGAAGGGGAATGAAAAAGTTTTTGTTTTAATCAGACACAATGTGATATTTTTTCTTTCTTTCTCAAACGCAATCATAAAGAGTTAATAAAGCGATAATACAACATAAGGCAGAGATAATACAACTTAAAATATTTATATCCTACACGATTTCAGTAAAAAATAATAGTAAGATATTCGAAATAAGTCGTCTCTCCCCTCTTGTTCTGAATGTATCTCTGTTCCATCGATTAGCCCTCCTAGTCTAGACTTAGTATATTTTTTGATTTGCATGGCATATTAAAATACTCATCGTAAAGAGATAAAGCAGACAATTTTTCTGAAAAATACTATTCATGCTGCATAAATTTCATTAATTTCGGTCTTCAAATCGTTTCGCTAATCGTTTATCTCTGCTCTTAAAAAAAGTAATGAAAAAACAAACGCATCTCTAAAAAGCTGCATAACAGCAATTTAAAAAACCCTTAATACCAACTTAGCGTTCTCAACTATGTTTTGGTTTTTGGAAGCTTTTGCATAATGCAAAAGATTGATATGCATATGTATAATATATTAATTACATTTTTGTATTGTAGGAATGATCAATAATGTTAAGGAGGAGATTCTATTTAAAGTAAGTGTTGATTTAGCTGTTACATTTAAAGATGCACAATTTTATGATATTATAGAAACGTAGCTATTTTTAGCAACCTACAAGTCGAGTATGAAGTATGTAGATAGAAAAGTTATTACATTTTCTACACACAATCTTTTTACTTTAGTTTCGCAAGGTTGTTTTCGTTTTCTTCACAGGTTTGTTATTCTGCAAATATGAAATTGGCTCCATTATAGGGAATTCGAGAGCTTCTATAGGGTATTGAAATCCTAAGACAACAAAAGGTAATGTTCCTGTTGTGATTTCAAATAATATCTTCTCGGATATAATACGAGAAGGTAAGTTGACGGAATTAATGTCACATCCACTATGATTAAATGACAACATTGGAGTAAAACACAATATTGACATAAATCTACATAGATATTTGCACTAAGGAAATATACGTATAATAAAGGGAGGATTTCTAATATCATATAAAGTGTTCACATCCAATATTTGTAAGTTTTAAAACCTCGTAAAAGGAAATGTACGGTTGATAGAAATTTTGAAATCGTATTACATGTTTCACTGCATTATTAAAAATATGTGTATGAAAAGAATAAATGTAGAGGATTTAAAATTCGTACTTATGCATAGGTATTACTTCTCTCCAATATTTAGGGATGTCAGTAACATTTCAAATAAGATAAAGTTTTATTTCAACTTAAATTATAGAAAATATAATTTTTGTTAGTTAAATTTCAAAAAGAGCAAACTCTTCTTTTCTTAGATTTTCTGAATTAAATTCTTCTAATTAAGTTTCTCTGAATAAATAAGAAATTTTATAATTATAAATTTTAAAAAAATATTTATTTATAAATTGAATTATCATGAAGTATACTTTTCTAGAAGTTATCTTTAAAGCATATAACTGTTTGAATTGAAATGCAACTTTTCAATCATGATTGAAAAGTGAATCTGCATTCAGGAAATGACATGACAGTCAGTTACCATTTTTCTATAGTTTAGCCACCATGATAACCTAATCTGTACCTTTGAGAAACTGTGGGGTGACATAAATGATGTTGTGTACGAAGATCAGCTCACAAACTTAGAGAAATTGAAATAAACAATGTGAATTTTTGAATTACTCAAAGTATTCATAATTATCGACACTGTAACATTATGACAAGTTGGGGAATACACCGTTTGGCACTTTTAGCTCTTAAGAGAAAATGTGGATACTATATTTAGCGTTTCACGAGACAGTGGTTGCCACCTTTGATTTTTTTACGACTTTTTGGCTTGTGCACAAGTAAAAACGAATTTATTCTTTTAGAATTTTTTATGGTTTTTCACCCAGAGGAAATTTAAAACCAATTTTCTTTCCCTATCCAATGTGGCACCGCCTTCTCATGGCTTATGCCTTTCTGCAAAATTATGCCACGTCGTTGAACTCTTCTTAGGAGTCCCCATGTCTTTCAAAAGATGGTAGGAACATAATTTATCGTTCAACTTTTGAACATTTTTTATTTATTTTGTAATACAAATTTCCTTTGCTTCACGTAAATTCATATGATATTATTGTGACCAATGATTATTTTTTTTATCCCCATATGAATGCGTAATTTTTTAAACTTTTGTCTCATAACGCTGGAATAAAAATTAATTCAGGCATTGTTTTGAGATAGGATGACGATAAATGAAATATCTTTTTTTCTTTTTTGATATTAATTGTATGGCAAAAATATCGACATTCCTTATTGCCATAGAAACATATTACATGAAATGTACTGAGTCGATATAAATGCTTATAAAACGATTGTATTTAGGGTTATAAATAAATCTGTCGATTGAGTCACTCATCTTGGCTCTCCATAAATGTTTGATTGAGTCCTCGCAGTCCACTTATTAATTGTAAATGAAATAAGTGATTTGTAAATGGTTCTATCATTGAATTAATAAAATCTCTACGCTTCGATAAAAATGTTTTTTGATGTCCTAAAATTTTTTCCATCATTTACCATTAATTATAAAATGCAGTAAAAATATTAGTTCCTCTGCTTAAACAATGAAATAAATTGAAAGAAAAAAGGAATTATCCTGAATAACTTCTAATGGAATAATTCGATTTTCATAGATTAAATGCCAATTTTAATGTTCTGAAGTGTTGGTTTCGCTAAATATGCTAAAATATTGCTGTAAAATAGAAATTAAGATACTGTATTAAGCACAAAAACAAAGTTCTAAGGACAAGCATACTTTTTTGATGGATTAGATATCCAGAAAAACAAAAATGCGGGTTATATAATATGGGGTTAGATGGGACATACTATAAATATGCAAAAGATTAATTTTGTTCAAAATAATTATCTAATATTTATTAGTGGGGTAACAGACTGTGAAAAAATATAAATAATTTCCTTCTATCAATAATATATGAAAATGTATAAACGTGGATTGAATGAAAGAAACAGAAATACGAAGGGTTGCCACAAAAATTCCTCGAGCTAAGAGAGCCAGGCTGTTTTATTTTTACCAGTGCTCATTTCGAAAGTTTTTTTCTGACATTAATTTAAATCATTTTATTATTCTTTTCGATGAAATTCTTCATAATTACGATCATTCTTATATTGTTTGCTGCATTCTCGTCCGACAAGTTTATAAATATTATTAATGTGAACTTTTTAATTACAGCTGGTATTGCATATCGTATAGTATGAATAATGTTTAAAGGTTTTCTGGAAGAGTATTTATACAAATAAAAATATCATAGACATTCGTGTTTTGCATCACACATCACAAAGCGATTATACTTTTTTTAAAAATTTACCATCTAAATGTTTTATCTTACATCTATTAATCTTATTATAAATTGGGTAAAATTAGAAAAAGTTCACCATTTTACCCACGGAATTAATGAGGAAGATAAAATCATATTATAATAGTTTTTGGCATTGAGTCTCATGTGTGCTGAGGTTTACGTAAAGGAAAAACATTTGATCATTTTCGACAGTTTACAGTTAGCTTAAAAATAGAAATGGAATCCAATTTTTTTTGCAATATGTATATATACGTATAAATTGGTCATTCATATTCGGAATCGAAAATCTTTTTAAAAGGTTCAAAAATTTAAAAAAAAATCTGCTTTTCTTTCCCAATTTAATTCCATTTTACGCATAGACTCATAAAACGAATGAACCAACTTTTATTAGCAAAAGGAATGTATAAACATGCATACAGGCTAAATTCATAGTAATATTTAAGAAAAATAAAGATTTTTTTACTCTTTTAACTTAAAAAATTTCTTTTTTCTTAAAAAAAAAACAAACTTTTAACTAATGAATATCAAAATATAACTCGATTTTTTAGATTTTACTTTAAACAAGTAAACATATCATAATTTGAGAGCAAACTAATTTTTAAATCTTTAACTTTAACGGAACTAAAAATGTTTGGAGCGTAAGTTTAAAATAACGATTTTTGAGAAAAATGAGTTTTAAGTTTGCGAATCAGTTGGATTCTGTTAATACGCGCTCCAGAAAAAAAAATTAATAACTCCAGAATTTCTCGGAGCATCGGAGAAATTGTGGTTTCCAATTAATCAGAATAAAGTTAAGAACAACGTCTGTTTCAAAAAATAGAAAATTCTGTTCTAAAACACTCGTCAATGAAGCAACAATAAAAAAAACAAAAACTTAATTTAAATCAACAGATTATTTCGTACTATTTTTAGTTTTCAATCCCAATCACACAACGCGTCTTATAATCAAACCACGCCCATATTATTATATCGTGAAACAATGTTTACAGAATAAATTACATTTCCCGAAGTTACTTCCTCAATTAAACTCAAACACCCTTTAGAAGACTTACGTCAAATGATTAAAGTAGTTATTTAGTCGACGGAAATAAGGGCGTACTCACATTTTCTAGGGGGAGTCGAATTCCCCAGAGGATGGTCGGAATGATATCAAATGGTCGAGAAATTGATCCTTCTATGTGAAATCTTATCCCGAAGGCAATAAATTCTAGAGACACGCATTATTATATACATTCAAGAGTATAAAAAATAGCCGCCAAGAAAGAAAGTCAAGCTGTTTTGTATAAGTGGCAGTCTTCAAATATCAATTTGTACGATAAAGCCCACTTTAAGATACACTATTGTAAAGGTTAAAAAAAAGTTTGACAAAGAAAGACTTAGTTTTTCACTTCTTTCAGTTTAAGATTTATAATGCAGGGTGTTTAGAAACTATATGTGGAGATTTGGGGCACACCATGAGGATTGGGAATCGCATCGAAATCTATCGCTGGATATAAGGTGGGGGCACTCATCCGTTATGAAGTGAGTGATTTTGTGCATTTGAATCGGTGCTATTAATGTTTAAAAATACTTTGATCTTGTGTTTATAAATATTATCGCCAATACCATAAATAGATTCTAAATATCTGCTTTATCATAATTTAATGATTTGGTGACCAACTTAGTAAGCTGAGAAGTTCAGTCCAAAGCAATAAATTACTATGAAGATCCATTTGAATGCAGTTCTCGGCTATATTTATTTGAAAGCATAACTAATATAAAATTAAGATTACGTGAAGAAGTAAAAGTAATGAGTGAAATGTGCATGAAAATCCTTGGAACCTACAATACGATGATTTCTAATGTCATGGGTTGCTAGGAGATTCTCAATTCTTTGTGATGTGAACTATTACCCCTTCAAACTTGGACATCAGGTGAATATAAAAATTGGTTTAAAATAAGAAGAATGGGCAAAGAAAATAAATAATATCATCAGATCATAGGATTATATCCGCAAAAATAGTGCTTTCTAATATTGCAGTAATAGAGTTAAACCATAAATTCATCAATAAAAATATCCCAAAAATTCAAGAAAAAAATTCAAAATGAAGCATAACTCGAAACATACAAAGTGAGAAGGAAGAAAATTGTCATATACTTACAAATAACTTGCGAAAATAATTTTAAAAAATATTTTCCTAACTAAGTTCCCAGGATACAAGGTATGAAAGTA